TGTCCCGTTAGACCCAATTTGAGATGCAGCAGATGCGCGGACATGATTATCATGATGACTGCTGGTGATGCTGAGGATGCGTCATGATGATTATCATGTCAGTTTCAAGTGTCCCGTTAGACCAGCATCATCATCACGGTGCTCATCATCATCATCTTCTTCGTCATCGTCCTTATCATTTTTTATATACGTTTCAAGTGTCCCGTTAGACCCGATTTGAGATGCAGAAGATGCGTGGACATGATTATCATGATGACTGCTGGTGATGCTGAGGATGCGTCATGATGATTATCATGTCAGTTCATCATCATCATCATCATCAGCATCATCATCGTCATCATCATCGTCTTCGTCATCGTCCTTATCTTTTTTTATATACGTTTCAAGTGTCCCGTTAGACCCGATTTGAGATGCAGAAGATGCGCGGACATGATTATCATGATGACTGCTGGTGATGCTGAGGATGCGTCATGATGATTATCATGTCAGTTGGTGTTCATCATCATTATCTTCTTCGTCATCGTCCTTGTCTCTTTTTATATACGATTCAAGTGTCCCGTTAGACCCGATTTGAGATGCAGCAGATGCGTGGACATGATTATCATGATGACTGCTGGTGATGCTGAGGATGCGTCATGATGATTATCATGTCAGTTCATCATCATCATCATCATCATCAGCATCACGGTGCTCATCATCATCAGCTTCTTCGTCATCGTCCTCATCTTATTTTTGTGTACGTTTCAAGTGTCCCGTTAGACCCGATTCGAGATGCAGCAGATGCGTGGACATGATTATCATGATGACTGCTGGTGATGCTGAGGATGCGTCATGATGATTATCATGTCAGTTCATCATCATCGTCAGCATCATCATCACGGTGCTCATCATCATCATCTTCTTCGTCATCGTCCTTATCTTTTTTTATATACGTTTCAAGTGTCCCGTTAGACCCGGTTTGAGATGCAGAAGATGCGTGGACATGATTATCATGATGACTGCTGGTGATGCTGAGGATGCGTCATGACGATTATCATGTCAGATCATCATCATCATCATCAGCACCATCACGGTGCTCATCATCATCATTTTCTTCGTCATCGTCCTTATCTCTTTTTATATACGATTCAAGTGTCCCGTTAGACCCGATTTGAGATGCAGCAGATGCGTGGACATGATTATCATGCAGCCCGAAGACTGTACCAAAGCCACAGTACCCGAAGACTGTAAAAGCCATAGCCCGAAGACTGTACCAAAGCCACAGCCCTGACAAGCATGATGACGATGATGACGGAGATGACTATGATGACAATAAGGATGATGACTCTTATGATAACTATCATCGTAGCATCCTCTGCATTACCAAAGCTGCGGATGACTGTCATGATAACTATCATCGTAGCATCCTCTGCATTACCAAGGATGCCTAACGCCACATAAAGATAGAAGAAAGATCATGATGACATGATGAATGATGAAGGCGATGACTATGATGACAATCATCATGAAGATGATAAGGATGATGACTCTTATGACAACTATCATCGTAGCATCCTCTGCATTACCAAAGCTGCGGATGACTGTCATGATAACTATCATCGTAGCATCCTCTGCATTACCAAGGATGCATTTCAAATGTATATAGAAGAAAGATAGAAGAAAATCATGATGACGATGATGAAGGCGATGACTAGGATGACAATCATCATGAAGATGATAAGGATGATGACTCTTATGATAACTATCATCGTAGCATCCTCTGCATTACCAAAGCTGCGGATGACTGTCATGATAACTATCATCGTAGCATCCTCTGCATTACCAAGGATGCCTAATACCGCATTTGAAATGATAGAAGAATATCATGATGACGATGATGAAGGCGATGACTATGATGACAATCATCATGAAGATGATGAGGATGATGACTCTTATGATAACTATCATCGTAGCATTTTTTGCATTACCAAAGCTGCGGATGACTGTCATGACCACTATCATCGTAGCATCCTCTGCATTACCAAGGGTGCCTAGCGATGATCATGACATCGAAACGGCACCTCGCCTCAGATGCCATTTGTGTCATTGAGATTTGGAGTCCTGCCTTGATGATAATCATCACTACGCATCATTCGCAGCATCTCTGGCAATCATGAGGATAATCATTACTACGCATCCCCAGCATCTCCAGCAGCGATGATCATAATCATGACTACGCATCACTGTCGAAACGGCACCTCGCCTCAGATGCCATTTGGGTCAAAAAGAAACCAAAGAAACCAAAACCAAGGGCTAAATCCAGGGGTCGGCGGCACTGGGCGGCAGCCCTTAAATCCGGCACCGGACGTGATCGGGCCGCAGGCCAAAGCCCGTTAGGGCTTACCTTCAGGTATAAGGCCGCGCGCCCCATGCCGCCGACCATGAGCGGACCATGACCAGAACATGCGCATACGTTTTATGCTGGGCCCTCCCTTATAAGGGGCGAAGGATTTGCGGATTTGTTTAAGCGATTTTTGAGGAGTTTTGTAGCATCTCCCCGCAGAGTCACAAAACGAGCGCTTCTTGGGGGGTGCCTAATACTGGACAACACCCCCAGCATTGCCAGCATCATTCCGGATGATGCAGATGATGCTATGCATGCTGGCGATGCGAAACAAGGGGTTGAGGGAAATGCAAGGAAGCAGGAGTGACTGGAAGTGAACAAAATGAAAGTCAAAGGAATGGCACGAAAAATGGGGAGGGCACTGGAGAGAAACCGAGATGCAGGAAAATGCAAGGGCAGAACGTGAAGGGGACCGGACAGAATGCGAATAAAGGAGTCTTCAAGGAAATGAAGGGAGCTGAAACGGCAGTGAAATGGAAGTGAAGGGACATGCCAGGAAACTGTCAGGGAAGACATGCAAAGGAAAAGTTCATTCCAATCATCCCGAAAACTAGCAGGACTTGGAGGGAAAGGAAATCAAAGAACGGGAAGGGGTGCCCGGTGGCCGGCTGTGTCGCGTCAGCGTGTAATCCGGCCACCGGACGTGATCGGGCCGCAGGCCAAAGCCCGTTAGGGCTTACCTTCAGGTATAAGGCCGCGCGCCCCATGCCGCCGACCATGCGGGTACGTTGCGGGTACGTTTTGGGCTGGGCCTTCCTTATAAGGGGCGAAGGATTCGCGGATTGGTTTAGGCGATTTTTGTAGCATCTCCCCGCAGCGCCTAAAAACGAGCATTTTTAGGGGGTGCCTAATACTGGACAACACCCCCAGCATTGCCAGCATCATCCCGGATGATGCGGATGATGTTATGCATGCTGGCGATGCGGGTGATGCTGGGGATGTTGTCCCCTAAGTCGGGCCAATTTTGCTGAAAACGTGCAACCTGAAAATCTTAAAATCTAAAGTGGATGGAAATGGATGGAAAATGGCCTGGATTGAAATCTCAAAATCCTAAAGTCTTAGATTCTTAAAATCTTAAATTAAAATCTAACCATCAATCTTAGAATCTCAAGATCTTAAAATCTTAGAACTTAGAATCTTAAAATCTAGAAATATAAAAACTTCCTAAAGTCTTCGAATCTTGAAATCTTAAAAACCTTATGTCTTAGAATCTTGAGATCTTAAACTCTTAAAATATGAAATCTTAGAACCTTAATTCTTAAACCATTGAAACCTTAAATTCCGAAAGTCTTCAAATCTGAGACCCTTAGAATCTCAAAGTTTTTAGAATTTTGAAATCTTAACATCTACTCATCGGACTTACAGGAAAGGGAAGTGACAGAAACCCTCATGTCTTTGAATCTTCAGATGTTAAAATCTTAAAATATGAAATTCCTAAATTCTCAAAATCTTAAAATCTCAGAATCTTAAAAGCTTCAAAAACTTAAATTCTTTAAATCTCGAACTATTGCAGTCTGAAAATCTTAAATTCATAAACAAGTAAAATATAATAAAATTCCTTCAATACGGGCTATATTATTCTAAATTCCTTAAACTCTTAATCTTCAAATTTTGAAGTCTTGACATCTTAAGATCTTAAAATCTTAAATTCCGAAAGTCGCCAAATCTGAAAATCTCATAAAAAATCAAATCTTAAAGCCTTCGAAATCTGATAATGGATGGTAAATGGCTGGGCAATGGCCTGGCTGTTATAACTTTCAAAAGCCTTAAATCTTCGAATCTTAAAACCTTAATTCTTCAACCATTGAATCCTTCAATTCCGAAAGTCTTCAAATCTGAGACCCTTAGAATCTCAAAGTTTTTAGAATTTGGAAATCTTAACATCTACTCATCGGACTTACAGGAAAGGGAAGTGACAGAAACCCTCATGTCTTTGAATCTTCAGATGTTAAAATCTTACAATATGAAACTCCTAAATTCTCAAAATCTTAAAATCTCAGAATCTTAAAAGCTTCAAAAACTTAAATTCTTTAAATGTCGAACTATTGCAATCTGAAAATCTTAAAATTCATAAACAAGTAAAATATAATAAAATTCCTTCAATCCGGGTAATATTCTAAATTCCTTAACCTCTTAATCTTCAAATTTTGAAGTCTTGACATCTTAAGATCTTAACATCTTAAATTCCGAAAGTCGCAAAATCTGAAAATCTCACAAAAAATACAATCTTAAAGCCTTGGATGGAAAATGGCTGGGCAATGGCCTGGCTGTTATAACCTTCAAAAGCCTTAAATCTTTGAATCTTAGAACCTTAATTCTTCAACCATTGAAACCTTAAATTCCGAAAGTCTTCAAATCTGAGACCCTTAGAATCTCAAAGTTTTTAGAATTTTAAGATCTTAACATCTACTCATCGGACTTACAGGAAAGGGAAGTGACAGAACGGGCAGGGCAAGGTGCCCGGTGGCCGGCTGTGTCGCGTCAGCGTGTAAATATGGAAAACCTCTGGGCTCAAGCATTTCTTTTCTGGTGTTAAGGCCCAACATGATTCAACTCAACCCACTCCCCTTCCCCTCCCTATCATTCCGACGCTCCCTCTTGCGCCATATCCCAGCGCCTCCTTCCACATCGCCGCCACCGCTGCCGCTGCCCTGGCGCTGCACTGAAACCACGTGGTGCCTGGGCGATGTTGGTGTCCATCGACGTGGCAAACACTGGCGGTGTCTCTCAAATGCCAAGCCATGTGTTAGAGGTAGTGCAAGGTCGACTTGGAAATCTCGGACATGAACAGTTGCTTCTGTATATCATGCTTAATGGATATGGACCGATTGTCACTACATTGGTTGTGGCATTCCTAAGATTCTCTTCCGGTCGTTGGTGTGGTGAATGACGAGTGCTTGGCAGCCCGGCCGCGCATTGCTCTTGAAGAGGCCATCGAGCTTCGCCTGTCCGGTTAACAGCGTGGCAAGCTTTCCAAGTCATGCAATGGATTCCGCGTTCCTTTTGGTTTTGGAGTGCACCCAGCTTCCGTACTTCGAGAACACATCAGGCTAGGTGATCCAAGACCCACGCAAGTCGCCTCACAGGATGTGTCTACATCCAGCCAGTACCAGGTTTCGTCTGAGCCATTCACACATAGCGTGTTCTTCAAGCCCTCCTTGGAGACTACAACTAGGCCCCCCTTTGCTTCCTTTCTTTTGCACACACAATACCTGAATGTCGACCTGAAGCCAAGCCGCAAGGTCAATCCCACCAGTGACTCGTATAAGCTGCAAGGCCCATCCAGAAGTTGCCGACATGCTCACTGCGGGCAATGTGAAGTGGTGGAAATTCAGCTTCCGAACCAAGATGCTGGGGGAAGATTTCCGAAATGCAGTGATGTCAGGTTTAAGTAGCGCGCTGGCCGAACACTCTCCAAAATTCCAGCATGCCCCTGTCAGCTTCCCCAAAACTGGGTGTCACAAGGTCCGGGAGCCCCGGGGAGTGGGTGTCTTTGGAAACACTGGTTGATTGCCAGTTCTACCTCAGCCTTTCCCTTCCTTTTTTTGAGCCAAATAACACTTTGCGTCTATGCATAGTAAAGCTTCACATTTCATACTTCCCATGGGGATCCTCCAAACCCACGTGGCCTCTCGGTACAACTCCCCTCGTTCCCCGCCTGCACTGCTCGCTCGGCCTCTGGCCTCTCTGCGGCCTGCATGGCCGAGATCCCAAAGAGCTCCTGCGAGTCCGAGAAGGCCACCACCTGAGCGCTTGAACTTTGACCTTGGAAGGGGAGCTAAAAAATAAATAAAACATAGCAGCTCAGTGGTTGGAGTTCAACCAAACCACAAAAAGCAAAAATGTAAAATGAGTCCCAACAACCATGTGAAGCTCCAGAACTGATCTGCTGGGTGCTCACAGCAAGTGCAAGCAATGCAAATGTTGGCAAACAACTGATCTTGCTTCTGCTTTTGACGCTAAGCAACACCTGTGTTCACAGACAGTGGAGAGAAAAAAAAGTCGGAGGATGGAAAGTCCTGACACCTGGAATAGCATTACTGGGTCACAAGATTGGGGAACGTGTGTCAATGTGCTTTTTCGAGGAGAACAGAAATCAACCTAAATACGAACAAGTCAATGCTATCTCCAACCCTGTTGATGGGGCCTCTGATATTGTCCTAATCCGTCATGTCCACACACACAACAATATCATGGTTGAGTAATTCAAAACAAAACTAGACATGGCCTACCTGCCCAACCAACCCAACTCACCCAACCCGCCGACCCAACCACCCATTCAACCACCCAGCATCCGGCCAATGGCAGCTTCCAACTGAACAATCAACTAACAGCGACAGCCGAATCCAAATCTTCAAACTCAAACAACTCCATCATGCACAAAGCATGGACCTGTTTAGAAGTTGATAGCTTCTTCAGCAGACTAAAACAATACTTTATCCATGGAGCTTCAAAGCCAGGTGCTCCTCACCCAGCTCCTTTCACGGCTTGTCATAACCAGCAAAACCGGAAGCTGCATCTCTGCTAAAAGGTCTCTCAGCACTTTGTTGCTAATCTTACACTCAAGGGCATGGGACATGTTTTCTGTCACGTAGCGCTTCACCAGCCCAACAAATTGACGCTCAATTTACAACAACAAACTTAAGCTGACATCAAACTGTGCACATCTATCAAGCACAACTTGATCATAGTCATCACATCAGTGTGATAGAGTGATTATAGCTACCCCCCCCCCCCCCCGCATGGTCAGACTATAAGAATCCTCGCTCTTCGTCCCTGAGCCACCTCTTTACAATTGGGACGGGAAAAAGAGAGGATAAGAAGGGAAGAGAGACATATTAAATGGAGATGCTTCTATAGCGTTGTAATAGTGGATGAAAGAAGTATCTCCATCCTCCCCCTTCCTCACCCTATCTTGCCTCTCTACGTGCGTCTTGATCCTATTTCTTTGTCATGGACGGACAGGCACGTAGAGAAGGGAAGGGGCACTCACTCTCCTCCCAAGCCTCTCCATTCTATTTGGGACATTGTGTGAGGCTTGGCTAGTCCTTCCTTGTCCTTCAGGACGACGGGGGAAGAAGAGAAACATAAAGTTAAATTCATTATTATCCTATTTGTATATTTCATTCTAGCTCCTATTTCCTGTTGATATTAATTAGCATTTTGCATCCCTCCTGTCTCTCCCTTACCTCTCCCTTATTCTCTCACCCTCGACTTTCGGCTGTGAATGGAAGGGATGGAAGGGATGGGAGGGGGAAATGGCTTCCTTTGGCATCTCTTGAACGTTTCTTACCTCTCTCCATTGGCCAGCCTCAACCAAAGATAATTGGCTGGCTCCTTGATCCCATGCACTGATTCAAAGCTGGGAATGGGATCGATGCTAGAGTGGATTTGTAGAGATGTCATGAGACGGCTAACAATGAAGGATGAGGGATTCTCCTCGAGTAACAGTTGGTTCGAGAGTTCATCCCTTCATACGTCTGGCCTCTCTATCTCGCCTCTCAACCAGACCTTTTCAATGTTGGCGAGATTCTGAGAGAGACAGGACAGACGCAAGAAAGAATCAGGCATGGGAATGTGGCTTGCATGCAAGGAAGAGCTCTGAGTCTTAGCCGTGACCTATCTTTCCCCTGTCCATCTTCAACAGTACAAATTAGATTACGGAGGATGGACACAGTTAGGTGATAGAGTGGAATGAAAGCAAGAGACAGGAATGGATCCCTCACCTACCAAGGAAGCCTTTCCCTTGCTACACTTGCGGTCAGTTCAACTCCTTAGATTCCGACTGCATAGCCTAGATTTGGTGTCAGGTGAATCTCTCTCTTCCTTCATCTCTTCTCGAATCCAGATTTATCGCAGTCATCCAGCAAGTACGTGCTCGTGGTCCTGTAGTATGGCTTAGTATTCGTCAAGACGCGCTATCTTGGGTTGGTCCAGTGCTATTTGGTATTGGCTTAGTTGTGGTTTATCATTGCGAATTTGCGTTGGTTGAGCACTGCTTGTGTTGGTTTGTTGCCGCCGCATTACGCGTATCATATACTGGTATCGCGGAGTATTGGATGGATTAGGCATTGCTTTCTTTGGCTTTGCGTTGGCTCGTTGCTGTTTAGCAATTTGTATGCCGCGCCCGTCCGTAGCGAAGGAACTCATCCAGAATTTTGCTGTTTGGGGCCTTAGTCATGTTGAGGCGTTGGAACCCTTGGGAACACTCACTTGTACGGCAAATCTTTTGGCACCCCTATGGCAGATGGTCACTTTTGGGGATGGCGGGGGCCCAGGGGCCTGGGGGCCTGGATCTGGAGCCCAAAAATGCCACGTGTTGGATGTGGCCTTTACATGTTTCAGGTCGGTGAAGATTTGTCAGACAACTGTTCTGCACTCGATCCTTGTTGATTCACGGCTATCTTTTTTTAAGACATAGTATGCGTGCAACTGTTTCCTTCGCTGAGTTCCCCCGGCCAGCTCGTCGCCATTGTCTGAAAGGTGAAGACTGCCCTGGCAAATGTGTCTCGTGCCACGATGGCTGGAAGGACACACGTTGGGCGTGACAGGCTGAAAGGACTCAAACACATAACTCTGGGCCCCAGGATGTTGGCAAGACGAGGCTGTTGCCAATGGCGACATCTCACCCGCTGTGAAAGCCCCGACAATGACAAGGCTCATCAAAGGGGTTCAATCTTCCGCGCTTTGGATTCCTACATAGCGCAAACAGTGTGCTTTGCATTCGGCGTGGTTAACTTTACTTTGTCTGGGTAGCTTTTGAACGAGGTTTGCTCTTCACGAACAAAAAGCCGATGTGCTTCCTTGAGATAAGTCCAGCTACGCTGCGTGTCTTTGAGGCCGCCCAGACATTTGGATTTCAAAACATCCCCGCCATCCAAAACAAAACTGTAAATACAGTGCCAAATCGCACCCGACTGTTGCCAGCATAACCTGAGAGTAGGTTTTTGCGGTAGGCGGACATAGCGGGCATGTTTGCGATCAAGTGCCGCCGCCGCTGTGCGGAAAACTTCGCAAATACCGTGTTCTTCTTCATTTTGCGCGGGTTGCTGTGGGGCTGAGACGGGATGCCGGGGACGCAGTATTCGTCTGATTGGCTGTGGGTGTGCGCCCCGCGCGGCGCGCGCGCGCAAGCACGCAAACACGCACGCATGCACGCACGCGTGCGCACACACGCACGGGCGCACGCTTGGGTGGGTGGGTGGGTGGGAGGGAAGGGTAGGGCTGGGGTGGGGTGGGGTGGGGTGGGGTGGGGTGGGGTGGGGTGGGAATGGGGTGGGAAGGGTGGGTGGGTGCGTGCTGTGTGGGAGAGCAACCCCTGCAGCCAACCAGCGCAGCTGGTGATGGCGAAGCTCTAGGATATCAGCAACAAACGTATCACTCACACAAACAACATGCCACGAATTTGGTTGCTTGCAAGCAACTGAAATTGCAAAAGTTCACCGCCGCAGATGTTAAGTCCTTTGAATCCCTGTACAAGTAGCTGTAAACTATCATAATCATAAAGCAAACACGCAAAAACACCAATAAAAGTGGTGCAAATTCATGCTTGCACAACGGCGACAAAACAAAAAACACAAACACAAACAAAGCAGGTGACCTGTGCTCCGAAGCCGGCTGACATTCTGGAATCCAACTATGCACACATGTGCCATGAGCAGAGTTTCTCAGTTGCATGGGGGAAGCCTTAGGAGTTCCAATGACAAGGTGTCTGAAAATCGGGCGCTCAGCCAAGGATCTGATGCATTGATCGCCATCATTCAACCATCCATACTGTGGATGGACAAAATCCTGCACCACCCAAGACACCATGGTTGAAACCATAGTTTGTTGGTATTTACAGGGCATCATATCATTCCAGGGTTTCTGAACGGTGGGTGGCCTAAGAGGATTTCGCAACCATCCACAGTATCAATCCCAAGATGTATTCGAGATCTCTTGCTCGGCCGTCGCTGGCATGCTTTCGGTTGGACGAATCGACGCGCAGGGCTTGAGTCACGGAGGCTGCCGGCCTCGAAGTGCCAAAAGTAGCTCCAATGGCCGCAAGGCAAATGTCCAGGAGGCACCTAGAAATGGCTGTCGCGATAAAAAAAAAAAAAAAAACGGTGCCCAGAATGGAACCCTGGTAAGTGGAAACATGGACCAAAACCTGCGTAACCCCTCCTGCTTAATTTTGAGCCACACCCAAATTTGGAATTTGTCCAAAGCGTTAAGGTCAACCGCTTCCTTGCGTCGACCTCTTTGGCAAGTTTGCCACAAGAGGCACCTGGTTTTCACTTTAAGCCTTCCGCCCAGTTTCGTGATGGAAACTCAAGATTTGCCCGCTGGCCACAACCACTGCAGCCAAGCTCTTGATAAGTGACACTCCCTCTGGCGCAGCGTCTTGGCCTTCTGACCTCCCCCGGCGATGTGCACCAACATGAGAGGCCGCAAGGAAGCTGCGCAGGGAACTTTGTGATCTGGCCTTCACCAATCTAGTTCATGGGTTCCACAAGAATTGTTTAGCACATGCTGAAGAACAAATCACTTGCGGCCAACTCCTGCGCAGTGTGTGTTTCGCGCTCTGGGGTCCTTTTGGAAGCGGAATGAGCTTGAGAAGGGCGTCCTCACTCTGGCACAATGTGTCGCACAATGTGTCAAGTCTGCCCTGTGTCTAATGAGTGAGCCGGCCGAAAAAAACCGCCTGAAGCGCTTTGTAGCTTAGAATGGGGAAGCAGCCTTTAGCATAGCACGGATTAAGGCAAAAAACACTTGACACTCCACCATTCTAGTCTGCCGTACTCTTGAAAACTGGAAACCGAATGCCGAATCACCAGGATGTTTCCTTCCACGCACCGCTGATTAGGTTTGTGTTGGTTCCAATGCATAAAGTTCAATTTGTGTTCTTTTGTGGATTGTCCGCCATCAAGTTGAGAGGATGTTCCTCACTACCGTGTTGTGGACATTGCTACTTTCCTCATTCGCACAGCGCAGCTCTTGGGATTGACAGGGCAAACTACTGCTCACCAACCGGAAAGGACCGTCATGGAAGAAAACGTCAGCTTCGTTATGACTCGGCCAGAAAGGTATCAAAATGGAGCGATCCCAAAATGGCGCCTCTCTTTTGGGTTACCTTCAACTCCTATGCAACAGAAGTCCCTACCTTCATCTATTCATCTACCCAGGAAACATTGGTTAAGCAAAAAAAACACTGGCGCCAAAAAAAACACTGGCGCCCAAATCCATGTGAGCCAAGGTCAGAATTGTATTGTGCGCCGCCATGTTGAATAATGTCACCCCGGATTCATGAACCCCTGATTGATTTTGATCGGGGGGTCCCCTTTTAGTGGGGATTCCTCACTTTTGGAGGGAACACCCCCCAAATAATGGCGCCTGGCACGAGTTTATTAATCCTGGGTCAACATTCTCGGTGGAGAAAGGTACCAACAGCTCGCGCCTGCCGCAGGACGGTCACCGGGAAGTCCACCTCTGGTACCAACACGTCGCGGAGCTCCCGGCCGCTGCAGGTCCGGAGGACGTACTGCGAATCCTGGCGCTCAAGCACCCGAGCGGCGCCCAAGCAAACCAAACAAACTCGAACAAAAAAAAGAAAACAACACACCAAACTCAAACCAATTCGGGGGGGAAAACAAAAAACTCGGGCCAATAAGGCGACATCCTTAGAAATGACCCTCATAATTTTCGAGAGCGCGGCAAGATGCTCACTTTAAGACTCAAAAAGTGGCAATCCGGTGAGTTGGGTGATCTGGCCGAGGGCTGAAGCTCAACTTTCCGAGATCTGGGCCCCCCCCAAAGGTGAGCTGATTTCTGGTCCTGGAGGTAGCGCTGTGCGGTCTCTTGCCATCCGTCAAAGTGCGGAATGTTGTCAACCATCACCTGCAGCTACCCAGCTTGTGCCATTGGCTCGGTGGGTTCTCGTTTTGAAAACGAAGTGGCTTTGCTTCAAAAACGTGTCAGGGTACAATCAAGGTGAGACAACTTGGCGTCGTGTAGACACATGAAAAAGGTTACGGGGTCTGTAGACACACCAGGGACTGGGCTTCAAACACAAGCTGCTTGTGCTGCCAGAGAGTTTGGCAAATGCACAGCTTGACTTGCAGCATACAAACTCCGTTTGTAAAACTGAAACTACGCCAAGAACCCCAAACACGGTTGGATGGTTGGATGGTTGGTTGGTTGGGTGGGTGGGGGGGTGGGGCATGCGGGGCGGGGCATGCGGGGCGGGGCGGGCTGGGGTGTGGTCTGGTGTGGTGTGATGTGGTGTTGTTTGCTTGTCTATTTCTTTGTGCGCTAGTTTCTTTGTTTACTTGCTCGTGCCATCGTTTGTTTGTTCGTGCTTGTGTTCTTGTGTGGTCGCTTCTTGCTTGCCTGCCTGCCTGCCTGCTGGCTGGCTGGCTGGCTTGCTGACTTACTTGCTTGCTTGTTCGTTCGTTCGGTTGTTTGTGTGATTGTTTGACTGTTGTTTGCTTGTTTGTTTGATTGCTTTTGCTTTTGCTTTTGCTTTTGCTTTTGCTTTTGCTTTTGCTCTTGCTTTTGTGCATGCTTGCTTGATTGATTGATTGATTGACGAAGAGTGGCGCCAAACAGTGAAAGGTGAGACACAGGCGCCTAGCCCGTGAGGCGTGCTACTTTGTGGGTCAAATCAAAGCCTACCGACACTGACCGGTGCTACTTTGCAGCTATAATCAGGCCAAAGCCCAGGGGTTGTTGTTGAAACCCCACATTCTATAATCCAAACCCCTTTGGGGTTGCCAAGAAGGGGTTGTTGTTGAATGGGCCCACAGAGTTCAAGTCTCAGAGCCGGCGCCCAGAATGGAATTTGGGGGGCGAAGATGACCATCCCCGATGACTTGTGCAAGGCCAAAGCGGGCTTCATCAAGCATGTGACTAGCCAAGTACAAGAAAGGAGCACTGTGCGGCGTTGGCCCGTTTTGGCGGAAGTCGGATGCGCGGCTGCACTTACAGCAGGGCAGGCGCAAGCTTGCAGTTGGGCTCCTACAGTGGTGCTGCCAAGTGATTGCGAGAATGCATCACTTGTTGGCCACGTAGCTGCTCTCAACCAGCTTTTGAACAGGTGTGGTGCTAATGCAGCGCGTAGCTTTCTCACACATCAGCTTTTGCTTTCGAATAGCTGTGGTGGTAATCGCAGTGGAGCACTAACATGGAGGATTGTGGACAAATGGCTGTTTGAGTCTGGCTCTCCACGCCACTGCCAACGGCTGCCAGACGTTGCTTAATGGGCGGGGGAGGTGATAGCAATGCACCCGCCCTAAGCAAGATCCAGATAGAATGAAAACAGCCTCAGTTACCCTGAATGGAACTGTTTCTTCATTGTTTGTCTGTCTGTCAGTGCTTTTTGTCTCTCTTTGTCTCTGTCTATCTCTCTGTCCCTCTGTCTGTCTCTGTCTGTCTGTCTGCCTGCCTGCCTGTCTGTCTGTTGCTTGTATGCTCTTTTGCTTGTTTGTTTGTATGTATGTTTGCGTGCTTGCGTGCTTGCTTGCTTGCTTGCTTGCTTGTTTGTTTGTTTGTTTCTTTGTCTCTTTGATTGTCTGTTGGCTTGTATGTTCGGTTGCTTGATTGTGTGCTTGTCTGTTTGTTGTGTGTTCTTTGTTTGAAAGTTTCGTTGTTTGCTAGTTTAATTGATGATTTGCCTGTCTGTCTTGAATATGTCTTTATTTATTTATTCTTTGTTTGTTTGTTTGGTTGTTTGATTGTTCGTCTGTCTGTCTATCTGTCTGCTTGTTTGTTTGCTTGTTTGTCTGCATGTTTGTTGCTTTCGTTAGTTGTTTGCTTGCTTACCGGTTGGTGTTTTGGTTGTTTGTTTGTTGCTGAGCTGGCTGGCTGGTTGTCCGTCTGTCTGTCCGCCTGTCCGTCTGTCCGTCTGCCCGGCCGCTCGTCTGCGTCTATCTGTGTGTCTGTGCAACTGTGCGTCTCCCTGTGCGCCTGTGCTCAAGCCTAGCTCGCTTGCGCCTTTCTCTTCGCCTGACATTGTTCTTGTTCGCTGCCAGGCTGCCAGCATCTTGAATGCTGGCAGCTGTACAGTAAACGCGTGCGTTATGGCTGATGAGGTTGCACCTTTGCCGGCACAACTCATGCACACGCATGAGATCTGGAGGCCAAACAGCAAACACACACACACACACATCCATCCAATCCATCTTTGATTATGAAGACAGAGTTTGATGCAGGCCTGCACACCTTGGCCAAAGAGTAGGCCGACCTCCAATCAAAGGCATAGCCATGGTCAGCACAAACTCAACCAAGACCACAAAAAGGTCGGCAGTGGCTTGGCTCTCAATGCTCCTCGCCACTCATGCGCTGCATGGTATCAGCGCTTCTGGTTCCCAGAATTGCCGGAGAACCGGAAGGTGCACCAGTCCATTATCGCAAGGCTGGCGCCAAGCGTACATCCGAGCGTGTGCCACCAACTTTTGCGAGAAAGACTAAGCTTCGCAAGTGCCTATGGCAGGCGTGATTCAGGGGATGTGCAAAGGCGGTATCGAGTTGCCGAGGCCCGAATGCCTGTAATTATTAGGATCCTGCTTGTTGAGTGAGGACAAACACATGCAGAAAGGTGCAAACCTGCAACATATCAACTTCGAGTGCTGGCTCAAATGACAATTCACGACAAACTCATGCGTATCAGCCACATATTAATGGTGCTCTCATTTGGATGCTCAGGGACCTTGTTGCCCGTCCAATGACAGATTCAGTGAACAACTCCACCGAAGTGGACGCCATCGGCTTCAACCTTCCTACCTTATTCAGCAGCAACTGGACAGTTTCCGTGGCACACCCGGCTGAATTCCCATCCGACAAGCAGAACAACTACGCGTGTGTGATGTTCTACGCTGCCGTGCCCTCCCACCAACTAATCAACATGGAACCTGCATTTCCGCTGTAACGATCACCGCGCTGTAAGGAACTCACTTCAAACTGGCTCCGAAGGTGATATTTCAAACCACCAAACGGGGAAACACAGAGAACACTGCAAAAGGGGCCTGGTCGGTTCCAGCTTAATTCGCAGGTGGGACGGTTTCTTTGACTCCGTGGGCTACGTCTTCTTTGGCGCCAGCTGCTTCCAGAGATCCTCAGACACCTCGCTTCACACGCCGAAACAGTCAGCTTCCCCTTGGGCCTGACCTGTGGCCAAAACATGTCTAAACGTTTTGGGCCATGAAAATGCAAAACAAGCAGCCAAGCAAAGGTTTGCAACTTGTCAACTCAACAAACAAGGATCACTTCATCTGTGGTTCAATTCGGAGTGTTCTGATTGAACACCTGTTTGTGGTCAGTGTTGATCTCCGTTGCCGGCAGTGACTTACCCTGAATGGTTCAAGCGAAAAGCGTCAACATGGCTGGCTGTCCTAGCGTTGCCCTCAGCTCGTGTCGCTCGTGTCCCTATTTTCTTGCGCCAAGCTAAGGCCACCAATGAAGAGGCAAAGGCAACAAATGCAGTTCGACCGGCTTGGCTACCGTGGTTGCCTTCCTTGCTACCCTCCAAGGGAGTATACAGTTCTACATATACATGATGCACACGAATTCCGAATATCTCCCTCTCTTCCCCGACCAACCTCTCGGGGGCCTCTCTATCTTGAAACCACAAGCGCCCACAAGGAATCCTTAAATTACCTCGCCGTGACAATCCGCCGCGTCTCTCTCCGAGTCCGGGGGGGGGCTCCATACATCACGCGCTCTGGGATTTTACCTGGGATTTTAAGACCGAAGTGCATGAATCTGGGAAAGTGCATGATGAACGTAAATCCCAAAAATGATGAAAAACCAAATCAAAACTCACACTGCAACCGCAGTAACCTCTTTGTGAGGGCACCCCCCCAAAAAAAAAAGAACACAAAGTCTGCCGCCTCGAAGAGCTTTAGAGCTGCACCCTGAGCCAGCACGTCGAGGGGTGACAGAATCACCTCAGGAAACAACCCGACAGCAACCATGGTCAACCGCTTTCAAGCAAGTTTGTGCGCTTGAAACCCAACCAAATCCAAAACATTTTTTTGCCAGATCTGCCCCGAGGCGAAGAACCTCCTCATTTTGGTTTCTAAAAATGGATCTTTTGCCTGGTTCTTTAGACTACTTTTGGCAAAACCTGGCACACCCCCTCGGCCCCATGTTTGACATATTTCCTTGACCAGTATGGCCCAGCCTGGCTGTCAAGGTATTCTCTTGCTGCATCTTCCAAAGTCATGCCCATGTCCTGCGGAAAAGGTTTGCAGCCTGGAGATGACCTGACTAGAGGGGGGCATGGGGAGCAATCTTGACACCAATACAGTAGACTCACTTGCTTTCGCACACGCATCGTTTTCAAGAGTAGCTCATGCTAAGCCATGCCGTGCAATAAGAGATATGCTTGACTGATAAAATGACAAAACACAAACAAAAGGAGGTAAGATCTACTTCTACGGGTGCCTCCATTCCTCCGCTGTAGCCTCCACCTGTCCCTCAAATTGGACTGTTGGTTGGCGCAGGCAAGCACGTCGTCAGAGCACCTGTGAACAGCATGTAGGCCACGCAGCACTGCAGGGAGGGAGGGTCTTGTTAACTTGGTCTATGAATGCGCTTACCCAAGCAAGTGAGCCGTGTGCAAGAGGTGCAACATGTTCTGGCAATATTGGTGGAGATGTAGTGGGCCTGTACACACAGACTTCCACCAGAAACATGCTTCAACATTCTCCGGCCCGACAGTCAGCAAGTCAAGCTATCCAACCAGCAAACAGAACAACTGGTCCCTCGGGTTTTGGACAAGTTCAGCGATACCGGAATGTGCAAGTCCAGCGTATCAGCACGGGCAACCTGTACAAGTCGTGGCGACAACCGCTTTTTTCCGAAGCTTTCTTGGAGGACTCCTGCCCATATTTGGGGCG